CCAAGCTCAGAGAACCCAAAGGACTCCACAGTTCAATTCTGAGCTACACATATTCACCTCTATTGATTATATGGATTCATGAGTGCTTGTCTTGATAACTGTCAGCCCTTCAAAGTAGATCAGACTAGGAATCCAATGTAGGTCAGTACTATTTTTATTGTAAAGCTATAGTAACTGCACTTTGCAAGTCTGAATGAACTTCCCCCCCACCCTCCCTTTATCTTAATGAGAACTAGGAAGGGTCTTGTCTGAAACATTTTCTCAAGTTACAGTCCTGCCCTGGACTCAGGTTTCTTTTATCTCACCATTTTCTTGGTGCTGGCTCTTCCTCCTGTGTCTCAAGGCCATTCCCTCTTCCCTCTACAGTAATCCTGTTCAGAATTTTATTAATAGAAGGACATTATTGCAAAACAGAGTACTTTGTTCACATGAAGAATGGCAGGTTGCTTTTGTGTGATACATTTTTACTTGAGATAATTGCTTCTGAAATAGCCACACATGCTCCTTGTGTACATCAATACATATAATACATCCTTTCATTGCAAGGTACAGAATTTTTCAATGAAATCAGACAGCAAAAATAGACAACAAACTTCCAGCCAAGTATGATTCCAGGTGACCTACATGGAAACGTATTTGGCATGATACAGAAAGAGTTTGCCATTATCTTCTGAGTGTTTTTGGATTTCCCAGGTTATAGAAATTAAATAAATAAGCAAACAATCTAGGATCCCCTGATGGTCTCTGTAAGTCCAGTTTTGCTTAGCTTTCTAAATCAGCCAAGGTCAGCTAGACAAGGTTATCCCAATTTTGATCTGTTTTCTAGACTGGAAGTAAGTCATCTCTACAACGGTAGTTGTTGACTTGACCATGATTTTGGATGTGTTGTTTGTTGAAAGTTTCACAATAGGCAAAAAATTATCACATAACATTTTCCTCATTATTTGGTTAAATATCTACAGTATCTTTAATTCATTCAGAGTGTTACCACATGATGATCTTTTAAATGTTGCCCTCCTAGACACGGCAGACCCAGATATAGCTGATACTGTTTGCATAAACAAACAATTCAGAAGAACAGCACATAGCTCTCTCTGAAAAGAAACCAGCATATCTCCCTTTTCCTAAACTCTTCTATTATTTTCTTAAGAATAGGAATAGTTTTCGTCCCCCTTTTCTCCCACTCTATACTATAACTTCACAGCTGGCAAAATTCTACCCATTCCACAGGCATTAAAGACATACTGGCCACCTTAGGGCACATGTTAAGTGTATCAAATCCTTTTTCCTAGATGTACACTCTGAGAGAGATCGCTTTAGTTCTCTCACCTCGAGATTCATGGAATTCCAGCGTGACATGGGCATCAAATCCGAGGCTGAAGTAATTATTGAAAACACTGAGGGGGAGCTGCAGTGATGAGATCAGAAGCAAAAAAAGGAAACTTGGTATAAAAGGCAGTATAGAAGAAGAAAATAGAATTGCAAATGCTAGGACACACTAAGCAACGTTGACTTTGTTATTTCAGGTACAAGTATGTGTCATTTTGGAACACTATTGTCAACTTATCTAAGAGGAAGTAGAATGTAGATTGGAATTGTTAGTAGATGTATAGGTGATTTGCATGAATAGGACTCCTAACACTTTCACTAATGGGTGAGTTTTATTTCATGCTTACTGGCTGGCTAATTACAGACAGGTCTGGAAACAATAAATAGCCAAAATAGTTGAGCAAATAAGCAGAAGCTAGTGAAAACTAAATAAATAGTAGGGTTCCATGTCTGGAAACATTCCCCAGCCACTTTGCATGACCTCTGATCTCCCAGTTCTAGTTTACTGCATGGAGGAAGATTTCACACTAACCTTCTGTGCTCCATCTTCAAGTTCATTTGGGGGCAAATCAGGGTTTCTCTCCACTTGAAGGTTCCAACGATCTAACTGAACGATGGCCCCGTCTTCTACATGGCAGAGAATTTTTGCAACAGGCTCATCAGTATATCCCTGAAGATAGGACAGACAACAGGCAGATGTAAATAACCAATATTTTGCCTTAATTAATGATGCCTTGATTAGACTATGGGATATTCATCAGTATTTATTCAAAAAGAATTTATTAACTTCATAATTCCCATCACTGTTACATGGACAAGACAGTGCACAAGAAATGCATAAAATAGTACGCCTAAAATTTGATGAATATTAGATCACATTGGGAATGATGTGAAACTGACTAATAATAAGCCTAGTTCTCAGGGTCAGCTAGCCAACTAGCCATGCCATGGTTGTGTTTATTTCATTTAATGAAAAAAAGAAAAGGAAGAAAGGGGAAAGTTGAAGTAGAAGCTGTCTGTTCAATACAAGGAAAATAATGCACCAATTAGAAGAATATTTTTGTACATTTCCTTCCACTACTTGAGCCTCCTTCACTTTCAACAAAAAATTGAAATGACAACCAGTCAGACCTGTCTTCAACTTACCCCTCCCCAGTTGAGAGTGCGAGCAAGATCATTCCCCGTGCCGAGTGGAAGCACAGCCACAGGAGGCTGGGGATTCAACTGCAACTCATCCAGAATGGAGAGGATCCAACCAACCTAAGCATCAACAATGATAGAAATGGAAATAAATGTCTAGACCACACAGAGAGATGAACCTAAGCAGCTTAGTGAGTGTATGGTTGGTATTCTAGGCAGTGCTGTTTATTCCCACCAATGTGTGGTTCTTAGAAGAGATTGATGAGGAAGGTCAGAACATGAAGGTTCATGGAAATAGATGAATGAAGAAATTACATATGGTGTAGGGCTACCATATCTGCACTGCAAAAATATGAATGATCAGTAGAAGTCTGCAAAGAGATGAGCTACAGTATATTAGACTAGCTATAGCTAGTCTTCTCTGAGAATGGTATGAAATAAAGTATAAATGAATGATGCACACAAAAAACACTCCCATCATCTCCAAGGGAAAAGCATATAGATGTAAATAAAAGTGTACTTGTCTTTCCCCTCCCTCCCCCCAACCCCCAATTCATATCAGTTAAAGGAAGAACATTTAAGCTGGAGAATTGCTATGAGAACAACCAGAGAGACACCCTCCATTGAAAATTATGTGGACACACCAATATAAATTAATCTCCCCACCCTAGAATTGTCTTTGAATAAATAAAACCATGGGAGTTCTAATTATGGCTGAGTTTTGCTTTTAACATGCCTTTTAAGAAATGACATTTCTTATGTGTGTTAGAAGTCATAATAAAATATTTAATGGAGACTCAATTCCTCAGCCTGATATTTAGAGTTTGGGATAGGATACCATCTGATTTGTTGTAAAGCTTGATGGAAAGAACTGAGGATAGAAAGATTTTGGACTGACAATATTCCATTTATCATCAGAAAAAGGTTAATTCTGAACAGGGACACTAAAAAAAATCTTCTTTCTGTTTTCTTTCAATAATGCAAAGTAATATCTAGTCTCACTGAATATTCACTAGATCCATTTGAACAAGATTTTCATTTCTAAATGTAATGGCTTTTGGAACAACACAACATTAATTTCCTTCAAATATAATCTCAAGAAAGATACATCAGGCATTGGTCATATTAATGAGAGGGTACTGCCCCCATTAGCTCAAAATGTGAAATGCAAGGGAAAAGATATTGAAAGTAATAAATCCAGCCCATGACATAGATGAGCCCAAAATCCATTAAACAGATGAGCCCAATCCTCCAGAAATATATCTTAGAAATCCATCTGTGGAAAAAAAAGGAAGAATGAGACCAAGGAGCAAGCATTCATAGGATTCTAAGAGCACATATGCCTGGGCATTGTCTGATTCTTGCAGACTTCAGCTCTGCACACTGTTCTTCATGCTGTCATGCTGAGCACCTGACTATTGCAACATAATTTGCTTGTGTGAATAGAACATGACAGAGATAAAAGAACATAAAATTTTAAATCGTTCCAAACAAGACCAAAACGCTACGCACTTCAGGGCACCCATCACCACGGATGCCATTTGCAAAGGAAACAATCAATACTTTGTTCTACATAAGTCAAATGTTGGACATGCATGTGTGCATGGAGTGAGTGTATGAACAATCCTCATTAAAATGCATTATGTTTGAGATTAAAGGGTGATGCTGAGATTTGAGATTAAATATGTGGTGCTGAACTAGTTATGGCAAAAGCATTTCATTCTTCAATTCCTGAGATACAGAGTTGGCAACTTTTTCAGGGGGTGGGCACTATTCTGTTATTTCCCGTGATAGGATGGATGGATGGATGGATGGATGGATGGATGGATGGAAGATAGATAGATAGATAGAT